AGAACTAAAAGGCACCTAAATTAGAAAGGAAGTAGAAAAACTGTCTTTATTTGCAGATGACATGATACTGTATATAAAAAACCTCAAAGATTCCACCAAGAAACTACTAGGACTGATAAGTGAATTCAGCAAAGTAGCTGGATACTAAATTAATATCCAGAAATCAGTTGCATTTTTATATGCCAATAATGAACTAACAGAAATAGACATGAAGAAAACAATCCACGCTGGCTGGTGTAGCTCAGTGGATTGAGCACGGGTCTGCGAACCAAAATATCTTGGTTCGATTCCCCGTCAGGGCACATGCCTGGGTTGCAGGCCAGTTCCCAGCAGGGGATGCACCAGAAGCAACCACACATTGATGTTTCTCTCCCTCTCTCCTTCCCTTCCCTTCTAAAGATAAATTTAAAACAAAAAGAAAACAATCCCATTCACAATTGCTTCAAAAAAGAATAAAATACCTAGGAATAAACCTAACCAAGGATGTAAAAGACCTGTATTTGGAGAATTATAAGACACCGAGGAAAGAAACTGAAGAAGATGCAAATAAGTGGAAGCGTGTACTGTGTTCATGAACAGGACGAATTAACACCATGAAAATGTCCGTACTACCCAAAGCAATATATAGATTCAACACAATCCCTATCAAGACTCCAATGACGTATTTACAGAACTGGAACAAATATTTTGAAAATTTATATGGCACCACAAAAGGCCCCACATAGCAACAGCAATCCTGAGAAAGAAGAGCAAAGTTGGAAAAATCATGCTACCTAACATCAAACTATAAGGCCGTAGTAAAGCAGAACAGCATGGTATTGGCATAAAATCAGACACACAGAACAATGGGCCAGAGTGGAGATCCCAGAAATAAACCCACACCTTTATAGTCAATTAATAGTCAACAAAGGAAGCAAACACATACAATGAGCTAAGGAAAGTTTATTCAGTAAATAGTGTTGGGAAAATCAGATACGTGCAAAAACATTAAACTAGATCTCCTTGCACCACACACAAGAATACATTGAAAATGGATCGAAGCCCTGGCTGGTGTAGCTCAGTGGATTGAGCTCGGGCCTGCGAACCAGACAATCGCGGTTCGAATCCCAGTCAGGGCACATACCGGGTTGCAGGCCAGTTCCCAGCAGGGGACGCATGAAGGCAACCATACATTGATGTTTCTCTCCCTCTCTCCTTCCCTTCCCCTCTACAGATAAATAAAATCTTAAAAAAAAATGGATCGAAGACTTAAATGTTAGAGTTGAAACGATAAAAAACCATAAAAACATAGGCAGCAAAATGTCAGATGTTGCTTGTAGCCATTTTTTACCGGATATACCTCCCCAGGCAAGGGAAACAAAAGAAAAAATAAACAATTGGGACTACATCAAACTAAAAAGTGTTTGCATAACAAAGGGAATCTTCAACAAAATAAAAGGACAACCCACAGAATGGGAGAACGTATACGCTAATACATCTGATAGGGGCTTAATATCCAAAATTTATAAAGAACTTACAAAACACCAAAAAAAAACCCCCACCCAGTTAAAAAATGGACAGAGGACATGACTAGTGACTTCTCTAAGGAGGACATACAGATGACCAATAGACATATGAAAAGATGTTCAACATCACTAATCATCAGAGAAATGCAAACTGAAACCACAGTGAGACACCATCTCACACCTGTCAGAATGGCCATCATCAATAAATCAACAACAACAAGTTCTGGTGAGGATGTGGAGAAAGGGGAGCCCTTCTGCACTACTGGTGGGAATGCAGATTGGTGCAGCCATTGTGGAAAGCAGTATAAAGATACTTCAAAAAGTTAAAAATGAATTTGCCTTTTGACCCAGTGATCCCACTTCTGGGAATACAAAAGAATCCAGAACACCGACTTGGAAAGAACACAAGACTCCTATGTTCACTGCAGCGCTGTTTACAATTGCCAAGATATGGAAGCGGCCCAAGTGTCCATCAGCAGATGAGTGGATGAAACAACTATGGGACATTTACACAGTAGAATACTACTCAGCCCAGTAGAAGGCTTCTTTTCTAAAAAAGAAGAAAATTTTACCTTTTGTGACAGCATGGGTGGACCTGAAGAACACTATGCTAAGTGACATAAGCTTGTCATAGAAAGACAACACCATGTGATCTCACTCCTATTGGACTCTAAGGAACAAACTGAACTAACGAGGAAAATGGAGACAGATACATAGAGAGCAGATGACAGCTGGTGGGGGGCAAAGGTACGAGCTGGAGGGGCGGAGCGAAATGGAAAAAGGACTCACGGACATGGACACCAGTGTGGTGACTGCTGTGGGGAGGGAGGTATAAGGGGACTAAATGGTAATGGAAAAACACAATAAAGATTAAATAAAATACAAAAAAATAAAATGCTGTTAGAAATAATAGATGAATTAAGTTGTAGAGTATAAAATCAATATACAGAAATCAGTTGCATTTCTATACACTAACAGCAAGTTATATAAAAGAGAAATTAAGAAAGCAATCACATTTACAATAGTATTGAAAACAATAAAACACTCAGAAATATATTTAACCAAGGAGGTGAGAGACCTGTATACTGAAAACTGTAACACATTGATGAAAGACATCAAAGAGAACACAAATAAATGGAAAGATATCCCATGTTCATGAATTAGAAGAATTAATATGGTAAAAATACTCAGACCAGCCAAAGCAAGCTAGAGATTCAATGCAATCCTGATAAAAGTTCCAATGACATTTTCCACCGAAACAGACAACTCTAAAATTGGTTTAGAACCACAAAAAGCCCCAAGTAGCCAAAGCAATTCTGAGAAAGAACGAAGTTGGAGACATCACTATACATGATGCATTATAATACATATCACAGAGCTACAGTAATCAAAACAGCATGGTACTGGCATAAAAAGAGGCATATAGATCCACAGAATAGAATAGAGAGCCCAGAAATAAACCCTTCCCAAAACAGCCAACTAACTTGTGACAAGGGCACCAAGAACACACAATGGGGAGAAGGCAGCCCCTTGGATAAATGGTGCTGGGAAAACTGGGTTGCCACATGTAGAAAAGTAAACGCCCATCTTACGCCACTCAAACAAAGATGAACTCAAATGGATCAAAGATTTCAACGTAAGACCCAAAACATAAAACTCCTGAAAGGAAACACAGGCTACAAGACCCTTGCCATTGGTTGAGGCAATGACTGCTCGGCTAAGTCACAAAAGCACAGACAACAAACACTAAAGCAAACGTGCGGCATTAAACTAAAGAGCCCTGCACAGCACGGGAAACCACCAGGAAGACAACCTACAGGGCCAGACACATGGTCACAAACCGTACACTGAATAAGAGACACGATAAGGAACTTGTACAGCTCAATAGCAAAAGAAAGAGAGAGAGAAAGGGAGCCCTCGGGCACTGCTGGTGGGAATGAGAATCAGGGCGGCCGCTGGGGCAGACAGAATGGCAGTTCCTCAAAAGATCGACAACTGAACCACCATATGATCCAGCAATCCCTGCTCTGGGTACGTCTACAGAATCAGAGTCTTGAAGAGACAGCTGCATCCCCATGTTCACCGCTGCATTCGCCACAATGGCCAAGAAAGAAAACAACCCAAGGGTCCGTCACAGATGAATAAATAAAAAAGGTGTGATCTACACAACGAGTATTCTTCAGCCACGAGAAAGAAGGAAATCTTGCCATTTGCAACAACGTGGATGGATGTTAAAGGCATTATGTTAAGTGAGGTAAGTCCAACAGAGAAAGACAAATACTATGTATAACTTCTATGTGGATTCTTCCTGGCTGGTGTAGCTCAGTGGGTTGAGTGCGGGCCTGCGAACCAGAGTATCGCGGTTCGATTCCCAGTCAGGGCACATGTCTGGGCTGCAGGCCAGTTCCCAGCAGGGGACGCACGAGAGGCAACCACACATTGACATTTCTCTCCCTCTCTCCTTGCCTTCCCTCTGAAGATGAATAAATAAAATTTTTAAAAAGTTTAAAAAAAAACAAAAAACTTCTATGTGGATTCTTGAAAAACAAAACTTGTGAAAGCAGAGTAGGGTGGGGGGGACCAGGGAGAGGTGGTTTAAGGCACGAAGAGCAGACGAGCCGGTTCTGGAGATGGGACGCTCAGCGTGGCGTCTGTTGTCCACACGGTTACACTAAACCGCAGAGCTGCTAAGAGCCCAGACCTGAACCGGCCTCCACACAAAGCGAAATGCCAATAAACATGGGATGTGCGGAGGGGTTACCCAACCGCACTGTAGCAACCGCACTGCGTTTACAGCTGCATCGATGCACGCGTCACACCTACACAACGTGGCAGGTCAGCTATGTCTCAACTTAAGAAAGGAAAAGGAATCTCCATGGAACACAGAACTTCACCCAGACCTAATGGCAGAGCGGGTAACTTTACTGAAGGAGGGCGGGCCTGCTGCTCTGCACGCTGCGGCTGCTGGAAGGGGACAAAGAAGGGGCCCCTGAGCAAGGGCTCTGGGTCCTTGTGGTGGTTTTTTAAAATCAGAAGTGGATTAAAATCATACCATGTACTGGGGTTATCTGTTTTTAAATATCACTTACTGGGAGATAGTTTATGAATAGGCTTATTAGTTAAGTAATTTCACCTGATTAAACACAGGTCACGGTGCTCACCGGTCAGAGCAAATCACCGTCTTAGCGCCTAGTGGGTTGTACTCGGCAGCAGTTCACAGCCGAGTCTACGCTTAGACCGCATGGCGATTCTTAGAACTGTTTGGTATTTCAAACAAGTACATGTTGTACTATTTCCCCGCTTTTAAAGCAGCCTGTGCCTTGAATTCTTCATGTCCGTGTTTGTTTTAGGTCCCTCATTTAATGCTGCCCTCTCATTTGGGCTCCCTCTGATGGCCGTGGTGACCCCTCGCGCTGACGTGCCAGTTCTCGCACACCCTCCGGTTAGAGCTCCACCTGGCACACCTGTGGCCCCGGCGCCCAGCCCCACACCTACCTTTCCCGCACTCGGCGCACAGGTACTCCCGGATGTTGTCGTGCACGCGCATGTGTTCCTTCAGCATGTCCTTCCTGGCAAAGGACTTCCCGCACTGCTCGCAGGCGTGGCTCTTCACACCTTACAAACAAACGGATCCAAATTTGAAGCCCGTGAGACCCGCATCCATGGTCACAGCACAAAGGCAGTAACCGGGAGGGAAGGCAGCCCCCCTGCAGCTGGAAACAAGGAGGCATCCGAGGACTGCAGGGGTGACGAGCAGGGAGAGGCTGTGCTGGGAGTGGACGAGGTGGCCAGGACGGGAGAAGCCGGGGAAAGAAGAACGAGGCGGGAGGGGACGATGCAGGACTGCTCCGCAGAGAAGGCCAGTGCGCCAGGCCAGCTCCAGGCCCCGGGTCCTGAGGGCTCACCTACCGGTGTGGATGAGTTTATGCCGCTCCAAGTTCCCGATGCTATTGAAGATCCGCCCGCAGATCTCGCAAGGGTGAATGTACCTGGAACCAGACCACAGCCTCAGGGTGGCCCACAGAGGCAGGGACCGGCCGCAGCAGGGACACCTTTCCTGAGCACCACGATCGGCAAAGGTGGGACCGAAAAGGTCCGATGGAGATGGCCCCGGACACAAAGATTCTAGGGCTATCAGGGGCTTCATGTGACCCCCGCTCAACCCATGTCCGTGCCGTAACCCCAACTCCCCGAAAGGTGACTGGATCTGGAGGCTGGGCCTTAACAAGGGAGTAGGAGAACACGAGGTCCCTGGAGTAGGGCCCAATCCAGTACGACTGGCGTCCTCATGAAAAGGCGAGATTTGGACAGGGACCTGGGTAACAGGGACGACTATGAGGACACAGGGAGACGGCCAAATGGGAGGCAAGGGCAGGGCCCTGGAGCAGATTTCCTCACAGCCGCCCGAGGGAAGCAGCCTGCAGCGTGGGGATCTCAGACTCTGGCCTCGGGAACTGGGACAGCACAGTCCTGCTGTTCCTGCCGCCCAGTCTGCGGCCGTAGGCTGTGGCGGCTCGAGCTGGCTACTGCAGCCTCCACCAGTCCACTTAGTCACTCACTTGGCCTCGGGGCACCGACTCTGGGATGCAGCCAGACATGGGGCTGCCAGTCAGGGACCCTAATCACTGGGGGAAGGGCTTCTTCTGGTGGCTCCACAGGCCTGGAATGTGGCTGGTCACACAGAGTCCTGGCAGGGGTGTATGTGGGCCCAGGGCAGGAGGAGCGGAGAACAGGATCAATGGGGACCCAGCTGGGGCTCGCAGAGCAGACGGACTGGCCCACTCCAGCGCCCCCACCCAGTGCTGCAGCCCACAGCCCCGGGGTCCTCACTTCTGCACGTTGGGGTCTGGCAGGTTCTCGCGGTGGATGACCATGTGGGCGTGGTAGGTGGCCTTCAGGGCGAAGCGCCGGTTGCAGGTGCTGCAGCCGTAGCCTTTCTCCTTGTGCACCTCCATGATGTGCTTCAGGTACTCCTTCCCACGGCCGAAGGTGAGCTGTGGACAAGCCCACCACGGCTCACCCAGAGCACAGCCCGGCCCCCGCAGCTCAGCACGCACTGCCACCCACCAGGGCACAGCGATGCCCGTGACAGCCCGTCACCCTGACAGGTGCAGAGGGGACTGGCAGGGGCAGAGCCAACCTACAGCAGAAGGACATGGGGAGTAGACCCCAGCCCCTCCTGGGCCCCCTGGCATGTCCTGGCCTCACAGCCTCCTCTCCAGACCAGCTGCACCCTGACCGCACCTCCTCTCCACCCACCTGACCTCCCTGTCTCTCACCCCTGCCTGAGGCAGGTGCAGGGCCAGGTGCCCAAATGAGCACACAGGTGCCAGTGCTCACAGGGAACATGGGCACCTGTACTCAACAGGGTATGCCTTGCGCTTTCCCAAGCAGCCAAGCCCCTAGCAGGGACCACGGCTCGTATGGCAAGCTGCTGAAAATGGAGCCCAGGGTTCCCTGAAAACAAAACTGCTGACTCTGGGCAAGGCCCGCCTTCCACACGTGGGGCAGGTGGTGGTGAAGGGCCACTGGCCTGAGACGGGGGAAGGAGAGGGGAGGGGAGGCCCCGTCTGCAGCCGGCCTTCAGGGAGCCAGACATCCCCTCGGTTAGCCACTGGGCCGGTGCGCAGGCCAGTCGGGAGACTGGCTCTGAGAGGTGGTCCACGTGACAGCCGAGACCATGCGCCACCCTTAAGAACCAGTGACACAGGGCGGCCTTTCAGGACACCTGTGACAAGGCCCCTGTGAATGGGGCCACCAGCCGGCAAGGCTCCCCGAGCCTGAGCCTGAGGGGGCCAGTGGCCCTGCAGCCCAGCCTCCCGTCCCGACGCCAGGGCCGTCGGGTTACCTGACACCTTTTGCAGCTGTACTTGTGAGGCTCTGAGTCTGCACTCTCGTCGGAATTGTCGTCGTTCTCCTCTGAGGAGATCCCGATCTTGCCAATAAACTCTTCCCTTTGGTGGTCATCCATCAGTGCGATGTCCTGCAAAAGTCACAGAGCTGGTTTCCAACGTGCCTGGTGAAGCTTCAGCTGGTTATTAACTCCGCAGCCACGGTGAGGTTCCCCCACGGGGAGAAGGCAGCGCCTCCCTGGCAGGCAGGCAGTCCTGCGAGCTCCCTGTGTGGGGACAGGTGTGGGCCCGATACAGCCGCTGTCCCTCGGGTCAGGGGGGCGCACCCCACCTCCCTGACGCTGACACCCACCGGGGGTTGAAGGTGGGCAACAGTGCACTTCCTGCCCCCTGAACCTGGAAACACCTAACACCCCTGGCCTCGACAGGGGCTTCTGTCGGTGGGGGCGACTCTAAGGCCTCCTTCCGTCTGACGTGACGTTTATTGCCCTCGAGTTCCTAAAGTTCCGTTTACTTCTCTGAAAAAGAAACACTCCGGCAGTTGTTCCAGAGGCTGGAAACACCCAGGGAGGGGCAGCTGTGTGGCAGGTGAGCCTGGGAGCTGAGGGAGTGGCGTTTCAGGGGGTCGGTGGCCACGTCTGCAATGGAGGAGGGCTGGCCATGCCTGGTGGTCAGCTCCTTCCGACAGCCGCAGGGGCTCTCGGCCACTCTCCCCACCACTGCCCGCTTTCAGGCAGTGGCTGCCAGGACGCACAGCACTGCTGGCCAAGTTTCATTGGAAAGTAAAACTTAGGGAGCTGGAGGTAGTGGGGGGGCAGGGGTGGGGATGGGAACAGCGTCCCAGCAGAAAGCTCGCTATCCTTTCTCCCCTGCTCCCTCCAGCTGAAGCACAGAGGTTTCCACAGGGGCTGCGGTTCCATTTATTCTACGGGAGTCCTCATGTCGGCACTAGCTGATCACCTACTTCCCACTAGCAGAGGACGGGCAACAGGAGGAGAGCAAGCCCGAGGAGGACAAGCGCCCGTTCAGGGGCCACCGATGGCACTCAGACACGCCAGGCCCCTCGCCTCCACTGGGTTTCGTCTGACCGCCAGAGAAACCCAACTTCCGTGGCAGGTCTCAGGGCTCCGTTTCACAGAGGGAAATGTGGGGGCTCAGGGGGTGGTGGGACTAGCACCTGCAGGTCCCCCCTGGGGGCCGCCCGCCTGCTCCCGCCTCACCCCCCCGTCTCTCAGACCTGCTCAGTGAGACTCCAGCTGTGCCGGGCTGGGAACTGCCCCGACAATCGCAGAGCTGCAGGCAGGTGGGGTCTCCAGGGAGGGGGCTCCCAGCTGCATTTGGGTCTCAGCACCCCCATCACCTCTTCGTTTCCCCTGGATCGGCTCTTCTCCCCCCCCTTAATGGTGACCCCAAGTCCTTGCTGCCCCCCAGCTCTAGCCCCCTCCTCACCTTCCTCAAAGGCAGGGAGGAGGGGAGCAAATGCCACCCCCCACCGCCTGGCGGGAGGAAATTTAACAGGGCCCTGCGTGGGGCTGCAGAGACCACAAATACTCAGGGTGTTAGAATGAGGCATGAGGGCCCACCGCGCCCCGGGTGAGCCGCCGGGAGAGGGCGCCGCCGCCGCCACCTTGAAGTGGACGTGGATGTGGTCCCTGAGCACGTCCACGCGGAAGAACTTGCGGCCGCAGATCTCGCAGGTGTACTTCTTGTCGCCGTGGGTCAGCAGGTGCTTGTTCATGTTGCTCCTGCAGGAGAACACCTGGGGGCCGAAGGACCGGGCGTGAAGGCGCCTTGCCCAGACCCCGGGCTTCACCAGGGAAGCCACAACCACAAACACAGTTTCCGTTTTCTCTGGAAAAGCCCCAACCAATCCGGTAATGTTGCCACACGGCAGCAGGCTGGCCGAGTTGCCACTGGCGGTCCAGTGGAGGCCATTGCTTCTCTAGTGTCCAAACTGGGGCCCCGGCACCCGATGGCTCACGTGGGCTGCACGTGGCTCACTCAGAAACTGGACCCCAACACAGGCCAGTGGGCACGTCTCCCCCCACATTCCCTTCATGCGGTGGTGCTGGGGCCCCCTCTGCAGCAGGTGCCCCGCATACCGAGGGGGACACTACTTCTAGTCCCAGGCACACAGCCCACCTGAGCACATTCAAGAGTCCTGGGAGGAGAGTCTAAGTGGAGACCAGGGGGCTCGTTTGCAGAGAACGCTGGCACTCTCTGTGGCCTGGGTGGCAGTGCCAGTGTGGGCTCCCACGTGGTGCAAACCCTGCTGACGGGCGGTGCACTTGTGGACATTCAGGGTCTTGTTTATCTGTGGAGTTGGCCTCTTTGCTGGCCCACCTCAGCCGCACCCCGGGCAAGTCTGCCCATGAGGGTGACGTCCCCTTCGCTCACATGGGGAACATGCCACAGAACACCAGTGGCCATGGGGCTGTCGGGCTGTCACTCAGACATGCCACGGGGGAGACCCGCCTCAGCAGACAGAACCAAGCCCCTAGGGCCTCCCGCCTCCTGGAGCGCTCGCTCTGGTCTCTGCCGCAGCGCAGAGAGCTTGAGAGTGTGCAGGCGGGGTCGTAGCAGAAGGAAAAGGGGCTCTAACCAGGAAAACACTCACTTCTAAGCTCACTCACTGGAGACCCAGCCCAACGGCAAAAGAGCAAAGTGACAAGGGGACTGATGAGTGGACAGTGTAGCCTGAGGCCACCTGAGAGCCCGTCTCCCCCGAACGCCCCCTGGACACTCAGCGGGCAGGGCTCCGAGCTGTAACGTGAGGAAACCATGAGCTCTAGGCCTCAGGCTGCCGGGCCGCGCACGTTACCTTGCCACACACGGGGCATCCCGAAGGCTCCTTCTTGTAGCGGACCAGGCTCTCACTGCTGGTCTCCAGGTCTTCTCTCTTCACCCGCCGGACTCCTGAAAAGCCCACCCACCCAAGTGAGAGAGTCAACACGTGACAGCGGTCAGTTCTGCTTCAGCCCAGCGCCACTTCCAGAGGGCAGATGAACAAGTGGGTGGTGTCACCTGGGTGTGACGTGGGCCAGTCTGGACCGCCGCGCCTACACAGCGAGAGCAGAGACCGACCGCGTGTGCCTCGGGTGCGGTGACATGGTGTTTGCACTTGGAAACCCAAGAGCAGCGAGCAGTCTCCGTTTCACATGTGGCGGAGGAGCTACAACGGAGGACCCCAGTGTGGGTGTCCGCACCCGATGGAAAGGTTCGGGGAAAAGCCAGGCTGCTCAGGGTGGCTCTGGGTAGGCAGGCTTTTCTTTAAACAGGGGCCGATATTCATCCTTCCAACTAAATCAGTTCAATTGGGATCAGGGTGCAAACTTGGATGATAATAAAATCTGTATGGTTTTAAGGCATAACTGTTCATAAATGGGATCAAAACACTTTTAGAAGTTTGCATGAAATAGGTTATCTTTGAACAGAAGAAAGTCACTTCCCATGGTCTCTTTTTCTACACGTCTGGGACATTCCCACGTAACATGGTGTGAAATGTGGGGCTGGATGTGAGAACGCCTAAAACCACGTGGTCCCCACAGGCTGCCGTGACGCACACCAGGCCGGAGCAGGGCCTGCATGGACTTCGGTGGAGAGGGGGCCACAGAAGGGCCACGGCAGCACTGCTCACCCAGCGGGAAATGACAAGCGAGGCGTCACGTGTAACGCCGGGCTGCGACGCGACCCGGGCGCAGGCATCGACCTGTCCATTGGGAAACACTAGCGGTGCTGACGGTGGCCAGCACGTAGGGCCGCACTCGGACTTCACAAGCGGGGTCTGGCTGGACCACCCACCAGCCTAGGGAGTCCTGCAGCACAGGTCAGGACACGGAGGCCGCCCAGGCATGACGCTTGGCTCGTGAGTCCCTGTGTGCACCCCGTAACGAGTCAGAGGAAGAAGCGGTGCATCTGACGAGGCCGCAGGAAGAACTGCCCGGTAAAGCGGTGGAGTGGACGAGCCGCGACTCCGGGCTGGTTTAAGAAAGGCATGACGCAATGCATGCGCCCCTACACGTGTGTGGCACCGCCAGGCGTCATACACTACTTCCTGACAAGCACACACAGCAAGTCCTCACATAATAGCGTCATTTCATCATCAGGTTAACCTGATGACATGCTAAAGGATCTTGTTTCCATCAACTAGTCTATGGTAGAGCCGCTTCCGTTATGGGTCATTTCACTTAAAGTCGCAGAACCTGCCAACAGTGGTGACTGTGGGCTTAACTGTACTTCATGTGCAATTCTTTAGAAAATGTTTTTCTTTTTTTTTTAAATTTTAAGAAAAGGTGCTTCGCTCTGTGAGGGCCGACCAGCAGGAGAACAGCCTTGTTGGGGTAAAACGCAGGACGGCCGACATAAACATGCTGCCCTGAAAGAAGGTGTGCGGGGCAGGCTCCCTACGGAGGCCTCCGGGGGAGTGTTCTCTGCTCAGCGCTCTCGCCCTCCCGTTCGGGGTGCCGCCTGCACAGCTTGGGGTCTGGCCCACCGGCCCTTGTTTCCAGTCCTGACACATTCGCCCAGCTCACCCCATCGCCGGACCCCTGAAGTCCACGCTGCTCTCTCCCCTGACCTCTCGGGGATCCACCGCCTGGACAGGCAGCCCCTGGGCCCCGAGCCTGCTACACATGGCAGGGCCAGGGCCCCCCCAGAGAGCAGGGGAGCCAAGGAACATCCGCCTTGGGCCCCACCAGCGCACCTGCCCGAACACTCTGCTCCGTGCACATGGTGGGAAGCGTGTGCCGTGCGGGTCTCATACACTGGTTTTCCCCTCCTTGTATCACGTCAAAAGCATTTGCTCACAATGTTAAGAAAAACCTCTGGGAAAAATGTTTTTAATGACTGCGTAACATGCAATCCTGTAAAGAGCCCGGTCTCCCTAACTCTTTCCCCCCTGAACACCTGGGGCCCTTCTGGCGGGTCCCATTAGCACATGACTCTGTGGCCCCGTCTCCCTGCCCGAGCCGAATTCCCACAGCTCGATGACTCTGTCAGAGGATGGCAGAGCCAGACTGCGTCCAGAGAGCTGGTGACGACGTGGGCGTGGCTCCCCCTCCCCCTGCCCCCAGGAGCCCAGCCCCCGGGCAGGTGTGCTCACCTTCCAGGTGCCTCCTCTGGTGGTCAAGCATGACATCCTTGCGGTAGAACATTTTGTTGCAGACTTCACAAGCGAACTTCTTGTCCCCGTGCTTCTTCTTGTGCTTGGAGAGGTTGCTGTTGGTGGAGAAGAATCTGAAACACATCTCACATTGGAACGTCTTGTCATCTGTCCGGGAAGCAAGCAGACACAGCGGCTCTTAGGTGAACAGCGCCAGATGCAGGCTCCACTTTGCGGCCATGGGGGCGGCAATGAGTGCGGGTGAAGGGCGGAGATGCGTGAGGGCCACCCGGCCGGGGAGCAGCGTCGCCGGTGTTGCTGCAGCTTCTCCCAGGCACCAGGCTGGAGCCGACATCTAGCTCACCTCCTCCTAACACCGAACCCTGCCCCACCACGCCACCCAAAGGCTCCTCACCAGCAGTCACAGCACTTTGCCAGGGACTCTGTCAGTCCCCACACCTCTCTGTCCCACTGCACCCTCTCCCTCCACGTGCCAAGGATGTCCCTCGGCTCTCCCGGCTCCCCTGAAGGCCTGCTCTGGGTGGGTAAAGCAGCTTGACCACTGGGCACCTGCACCGCAGGGCCACCTTTCCAGGTGTCTGTCTGTCCCCAACACACCTGGGCTCTCCCCTCGGCTCAGGGATCTCAGGGCCTCATGCCCAGCACGAGCATCCGGCCCTCTCTGCTTGCTCTCAGCTCTGCCCCTCACCCCACCCCCACCATATGTCCCCCCCAAGGCCAGTCACCCGCAGGCTCGTCACCTACACAAGCCCCGGGGGGCAGCCCTCACTGCCCACGGCCCTCCTGGAGCACCAACGCCAGGACTCGTAGACTACAGGAACTCCCCGCAGGACCCTGTGCAGGTGGGCCTGCCAGTGCGGGTCACGGGGTGCATGCCCCCCCAGACCCAGACCCTCAGGCCACAGCACATCACCCTTGTTTCTGGGCCCTGGGCTCAGCCTGCTAACCTCTGAGAATGTCGGCAAACACTGCCAAACACTTGGACCCCTGAGGCCACCAGAAATCTGCTATTTTCTGCAGTGAATCTGATGCAGGTCTCACTCTGCTGTAGCGGAGCCCTGGGTGTGTCGAAGGAGCCCGCGTCCAGGGCCTCCGACTGGGCTCTGCTGACGCGTGGGCCAGACCCTTCCCTGTGGGGCCGGCCTGGGCTCTGCGGGGGTCTGCAGCATCCTGCCCCGTCCCCAGCCTGCTGCGAGAACCAACACGTCCCAGGGGCTCAGGCCACAGTTCTCAGGTGGCCCCGATGAAGTCCAGGTGCATCCCAGGTGCACCTCCATGATCGCCTGTGCACACTCACTTGTAGGCAGTACGTGTGCTTTTGCAAAACGTGTTCACTTTTACTTCAGTGGCTATGTGACAGTCCATCCTGTTCACTTATCACAGTTCACTTCGTTGCTCTGATACTATGGATAACTCAGTGCTCCTTAGCAACGTAGCTCTTTCCCCGCCTTTCTGCTAAATTCCCCTAGCAGAGCTTCGCAGGAATGGGACCACCAGACTGAGGGCGCCTGCCACCTGCTTCGTGAGGAGCCGCCTCCACCAGGCTGTTTCATCAGATCACAAAGACCCCTGCCTGGCCTGCACCTGCTACGCCCCGGTGAGCCCCCTCCGGACCGCTGCATCCCTCCCCCCGGAGCCCAACAGCACTGGAAGGTGTGGTGCGCCCTTGGGCTCTAGCTTTCCCTCTCAAGAGTCCCTCCCATTGTCCCTCCCAGCGTGTGGCGAGAAATCCCTGGTAACCATCCCTGGCTCGGGTGTGGCCTCTGCCCACCAGAGTAAGCTGCAGCAGAGCTGCCGGCGCCGGTGCCCCGCCCAGGGCTGCTGCTCCCACCGTGGTACCCGGGCACCGTCGGGAATGCAGACAGTGTCTGGTGCCAACACTCTCTCCCGCCAACAAGCCGGTGCCCTCGGGCTCCATGTTGATGACTGCGTGGAGCGTGTGCAGCAACAGACAACAGAGGCCTGTTCACCGGGCTCTGGCAGAGGGTGTGGGCGCAGGGTCACCTGGAGACAAGACTACAGATCTCTCGGGCAGCCGACCTGCCCGGGGGGCATGAAGGGCTATGTTCTGCTTCAGGGTCTGAACGGAACCCTCGCTATTCTAGAGTCTGATGGCCAAGGGCAGTGCAGGGACCACTTAGAAGAGTTACGCCAACGCCGTCACACCCAGGACAGGATGTGGTGAGCAAAAGCTTGAGAAAAGCCCACCTGACTGCACATTCCAAAGCTCCTCCCTCACATCACACACGCTCTTGGCTTCACGGTCTATGGAACACACACGTTTTCCTACGGTGAACAGGTAAAAAGTGTAACGGTCTACAAATACTGTGTTGTGTGAACGATCTCCATTTCCAGGTTTATCCTTCATTCTCCACCCAAACTTCTAGTCTGTGAAATGAGAGTGTCCTAGGAAGAGTTTAGAAAGCGCACCGCAGCCACAGCTGCTCGGCTGCTTCCCGTCTGGAAGGAGGAGGTCCGGTCGGCCAGAACTTCAACTGACGTGCAGCGTCTGCGGCTCTGACCCCCTTTGCTACCCTCTGTTGTTACTTTCCATCTCATGTGTCCAGAGAGGCAGTTAAAGAGGACGATTAGTCCTCCTGGACCTGGAGCTGCTCACCACACACCGGACAGGACAGGGCAGGCACCACTCTTGCTCCTGACAGCCCAACAGCCCCACGCCACTCCTGCACTAGTACAGATCCGAGAGCAGCCACACAGGGCGTCGCCTGACCGGAACCACAGCTCCACCTGTAGCTCTCTGCTGCAAGTGCAGCAGTGGAGACTGCTGGGTGGTCTGGCCCCAGACTTGGGGCGACACCCGGGGTGCAGGGCTCTGAATGCAGGTGCTTCAGCACACCGGAAGTCTGACTGAAACCTTCCAAGGTCACTGAGTGTCACGGATGCAGAGGCTGTGGAGCACCTGGGGCTCAGGTGAAATAAGATTTGCCTGCCATGGACAAAAGACAGGCCCTGGTTTCAGCCAGGAGCCCTCACAGCAGAACAAACAAATGAACCAAACGAAGGGACACGGCAGACGCCCCAGACCAGACGCTGGCCGCGGCAGGAGAGGCCGTGGAGCTTGCGCTAATGCTGGCTAAGGTTCCCCAGAGACCCACCATAAGGAGAACCAGCACAGGAATACGAGTGACGCACACAGAGGGGTCGACAGGAAAGGGTTCAGTATCAAAGGCTAACCTGGTAGGTCTCTAAGCCGACTGCCACTGGTCCCCCCCTCTCCCGGGTGTGCTAGGGGTCCTAGAGAGAGGGAGAATGCAAGTCACCCAGGGCGCACCAGGAGGGCGCAGAGGGGGCAGGGTAGGGCTTTCTCCGCTGGCTGGGCTCCCACACCGCTGCCTCCTGGCTGTGCGTGGGGATCTCTGTATTACGTGTGCTCGCCAGTCACCAGCTCATCCAGAGACGGCGCCCAGCACGCTTGTCCAGACCCGGGGAGGCCCCCTCTGCACAGGCTCATCCTGGCACAAGTAAAGCAAGGTCTCATATCATTGGAGACTGGAGGGCAGAAGTGGGCTCACAGCAGCGTGGTCTGGGCATGGCGCTGCAGCGCCCTGTCCTGGCCGCTGGCGGTTCCACACAGAAGGGAAGGCTAATGGCTACGGAAGACCCTGCCGCCAGGTGAGGGACAGGCACTCCGGCAGGCGCACCCCACCTCCTCATTTCTCCCGTGGCCCTGGCACAACCGCAACACCACTGCTCACCACGCTTCTGGAGGGTGACACGGGGCCTCAGATGTGGGGCATGTGCAACAGGAAGCGAGATAAGTAAGCTCCTGTAGACGCAGGGAGTTCCCACCTGTGCCTTTAGACCAGCCCGTGAGCGGTGGGAAAGGTAAGAAGTACGGCTGTCTGGGAACTCCATCTCTACTCCCTTCTCATGTCCGTGGTTTCCAGCCCGTCCCCTGGGAACTGGCGCTGGATGGTGCCCGCTCACCTGTCCGGCAGTTGTGAAATTCTAGTGCGCTCTCGATGCGGAAGGTCTTCTCGCAGGTGCCGCACCGATACCTGTACTCGCTGTCCACCTGGGCAGAGGGCAGGGCGTCAGTGAGCGGAGGAGCCCAGGGAGGTTCAAGCAGAACGAGCTTCCTGATGGAACATTCTAGCAACTTCCACGTGTGTATGGTTTACGACGTTTCTCTATGACTCTCCCACTCAACTTGGGAAAATGAAAATCATTCCCTCTTCCCACCGACCGTCCTAGAAAGAGTACCCACACCCAGGTGCCGCACAGCCCGCAGCGGCCACCTGCCCCCCACAACTCCTCCGGGACCCCCGTCTGTACCTGGCCAGGCCACCGAAATGTGTCCTGAACCGCCAGGTGGCCCGGCCATTTCGGTTCTCTCCTCTCTCCTGACTCTGCCTTCTCCCCCGGCCCTGACTGTCGGTCGAAGGCACGCGTCCCCCGAGACCAGGAAGAAGACTCGCAGCTGCGCCCACCTCGTTCCTGCTGTGCTTGTACGAGACGTGCTGCTTCAGACTCTCCTTGCGGCTGAACAGCTTCGCACACTCCTCACACTTGAACAGCTTGTCACCTACGCAACCAACAGTGAGAAGCTGACCCAACGGCAGGTGTGACCTGAGACACGTGTGCCCCGGAACCGCTGACCTGCAGGGGACAGGCAGCCCCTCGGCCACCGGCAACGGTGACAGCCGGGACTCACCGTGCGAGCGCACGTGCCTGCTCAGGTTGCTGCTGTTCTGGAAGACCTTGCTGCAGGTGCTGCACTGGTAGACCCGCCGGTGCTCCCCCAGCTGCCGGACCAGCTTCCGCCGGATGCCGTGTCGGCTCGAGAGGATCAGACTCCTCTTGAGCGTGATGCTGCTGCTCTGATGATGGGGGAACCTGACCGGGGAGACAGGCAAACTGTGAGGCACCTGGGGCCCTGGGCTGTTGGGGGCAAGAGTTCAAGGCTACAGCCATCTTGGAAAGGGTCCTTCCAAATCGTCCCGACTTGACAGGAGAAGGAAGAGGACAAGCTCAGGCACCCCCAGAGGCTGGACATCCAGAGGGAGGGGCACCTGGAACACAGAACGGTGCAGGAAGCTGTCTCTGCACCAGCCACATGTGCTGGGCCGTTTAACTCCGGCCACCTGGGAGCCTCAGGCTCAGTCTGGGCTTCAGCTCAAGCAGACACATCTGTGCGGCTTTCCTCACTGCTTTCTACTTTCCCTGGGCCTGATTTTAAAATGTCTTCTCCCGTGAGTCACAGAAAACCTCAGGGCACTAAGATAGACCGTAAGTAAATTAACAGGTAACACCATTTCTAACTCAGCTTTGGCTTCAGTGTTTCTACAGGTTTCCGAACTGCGGAGGAGCAGGCACATCTGACAATGGTTAAGAGGACTCCAAACAGAGCCAGAGGGGAGAACAATCGCCACCAGCTTGTTCAACTTCAGGGCAAAACTTACCTGGGAATAACAACAAAAGACAAAATACGCTTTCCTCATTCACTAAAAAAAAAAAGGGCCTAACTGGTGTAGCTCAGTGGGTTGAGTGGGGGCCTGCAAACCAAAGGGTCGCCAGTTCCATTCCCAGTCAGGGCACGTGCCTGGGTTGAAGCCAGGTCAACGGGTCGGTGTATGTTTTATACATCGATCTTTCTCTCCTTCTCTTTCTCCCTCCCCATCTTTCTAAAAATAAGTGAAATTAAAAAAAAAAGGAAAACACTGAGTAAGGTGTTGAATTTACGGAAGCTGAAATACAAAGCTGCTTTATCATTACAGCCGAGAGGTGAGGCAACCCGAGTGTGTGCCCACTGGAGCCGGAGTGGAGAGCGTGGCCTGCCCACGTGGCGGGTGCCGCCCTGGCCCGGACACAGGCTCCCACGGGGGTGGACCTCGGGGGCCCCGCGCTGACTGGCGTAAGCCAGGTACAAAAGGACCATGCCGTGTGACCTCCCTTTCATGAGGTCCCTCCAGTACTCAGATTCACAGACACAGAGAGTAGAAGGGGAGGGAATAATTGTTAAGAAAGTATAGCGTTTCAGTTTAAGGAAGACAGAAAAGTTATGAAGATGGACAGTGGGGAATTTATGGGAATGTACTTAAAGACACTAAACTCTTAACACGGTTAAGGTGACAAATGTCATGCTGTGCCTATTTTACCAAAATTAAAATCCTTAAAAGTTTTTCTCAGTGCCATTCAACTCCTGGGTTCCCGCTGCTTCCCCAGCTTGTCTGTCCCCACGAGACACAAGCGCCACCCCTGCCCGTCATCTGGCCTTCCCACTGGGAGGTGCCTTCCCTCCCAAAGGATTCACGGCCACAGTGCTTCCGGTCTCGCGTGCTGTGGTCCAACTCACTTGGGCACAGAAGTGGCGTCGCTGGGGGTGGCAGCCAGCTTCCCCAAAACCAGCTCCACAATGTGCTCATCCGGGGTCGAAGCTGCAGGCTCATCCGGTGGTACCTCCGTGACGATCTCTGCAACTTGCTCTGCGCAGAAAGAAGGGGCAAGGCCACGTCGTCGCCAGGGCAGGGGCAGAACACACCAACCGAGACGGCACGCCTGAGGGCACTGCAGCGGGGCCCACGACATGGGTTGCAAGATTTACACAGGTGCAAAGAAAAGGAAGGAAAACCAGCACCACTTTGGAACCCACATGTTTACCTGCACAACCAGGAAAACAAAACCATGTTCTTAACTCAAAACCGGAGCTTCACCGCGAGATGCCTTTTTAAAACCACAGCAGTCGTAATGCTATTCCAATCCCTCTTCATGCCAACCGAAAACAATGCATTGTGATAGTTTGTGGGATCTTACAACTTAATACATTAGTCGTGACAGAGACTGAGAGCTACTAATTTCATCATCAGATAAGCCGCCTTGAGTACGTCCCAAAGCGGATAACCATCCAGTGCAGGAGCCAGCTACAAAGCAACCACGGTGGTAGGGGCCCCGGCTCGGGGAGACAGACAAGGCGTGGGGAGACCATGCAAACCATTCTCACGGCTCCCACCGCTTCGCCCACCGTGTGTCTGCCCAGCGCAACTCCCCACCTGGGAAATAATCACGGAACAGCTCTGCCCCTTCGCTGGCCCTCCCTGTTCAGACGAGGGGAGGGGGTCCAACCGTCCCCACCCTACCAGCCCCACACACGCCCACAGAGTGGGCTGCGCACCGGCCAGCAGAAGGAATCCTGGAGTGTGACAGCAGCATAAAGGACATGGCCCAGCGGTCAGCAGAGAGGGCAGCGAGGGGACCCATGCCACAAAAGGAAGTAAAGGTCCCTCTAAACTCAACTGGGGATGTTGTCACCGAGAATGAGCTTCTACCAGGGCCGGGACACACGCTGTGTGCCCACCTACCGGTGACAGAGGAGTGGACACTGGGGTGTCCACACAGTGGACAACACTGCTCGGCCACCAAGGGGGAGTGGCTGAAACCCAGCATGGACAAGGCACCCCACATGCCCCCTGCGAGACACCTCGCACTGAAGGAGACCATTCATGCGAACTGCTGGGGTGGGCAAGGCAGATTCACGAGAGATGGAGGGGTGGGGGGTGGCTGGGAGAGGGACAAGTTCTTGGTCAGGGCCAGGTGCTGCTTCCATAGGCGGACCCTCCTGCCCAAGTCCACAACCTGCACACTTCGGAGTACAAACTGTATCATGTGTAAGGTGTACTCCAAAGGAGCTAATTTACAGAAAAAGAGGACTTAGAGTCCACCTCCCTGTAGGCTCCCACTGCCCCAAATGCAGGTGACAGGTGACATAGCCTCAGGTCCCTCCCAGTCTCCCAGGACCGGCCCTCACCTGCCGGCTCCTTGCCCTCAATGGTGCCCAGAGGCTGCTCTGGCTTCGAGGCTCTGGGTTTCCTCCCTCTTCGAGGCTTTTTCTTCTGCTCTTTGGCGGCACCGATGCTCCTGGGAACCGCAGGAGGCTCTCCCCGAGGTGCGTCCGGCTCCTTGTCCGAGGCCCCTTCCTGCTGGCTGGCCGGGGCGAGGCTTTTGGTTTGTTCCAGGTGGCCCAGCAGGTGCTCTGCGGCAGAGGGAGGCACGTGCGAGGTGGCGCGGGGAAGCCCGTCGGTGTGGCCGCCCCCGCCCCCTGGTCTGTTGCTTCGGTTGTGTTTGCCGATCATGTGCCCCCTGCACAGGTAAGTAAAACTTCATTTCCACTGCTTTTGAAAATAAAGCGTTCCCGCTGTACCAGAGGCAACTAGTACTTTAAAACGTCAACAAGATGATAGAAACAGAGCAGGTTCACCACACACGGGTGTGTGCAAACTAAACGCTTGTGTGCACACAGCAGTATCGAAGGATGCGTGAGAACGTCAATAATCTCCAGATGGAAACGTGCCAGGCCATTGTAACTTTCTTCTTTCGGTTTATCTGTATTTTGTAATTTCTCTACAGTAACTACATAACATGATAACTTAAAAATGTAACCTCTAAGAGGAGTGAGAAACATTCAACCCGTGCCTTTAAAATCACTGCATAAAAGCAAAAAACCCTTTGCTTTATTTTCAACTGAAAAAAGCCTCAGAGACGCCCCAAGCCGAGACCTGGACAAAACACAGGGAACAGGTGGCACAGGTGGGTGCAAAGGTGAGAGTGGCCGGGCTCCCCAGGGTGGTGCGCGCGGCTCAGACGGGCGGGGTCTCGGGCCCCCGCAGGCAGGAGGAGGGAGGGCCCAAAGGACGATGGGGACTGACGTTCTCAAACGCACAGGGGCCAGGCCAGATTCTTCCTGCTGCAAACCACTGGTTCAACTCGGGTGCTATGTAGGAAGTTCATGGCACTGGTGTCGTATTTGGGGACATGGTGCTGGCAGAGTGCCCACACAGAACGAGTGAGGGAGAGAAACTCATCACAGCAAACGTGACACCAGTGGGAGGGAGGGTTTGGCAGCCGGGCCACACCCAGCAGAGCAAGCTAACCAAGACCTGCCCGGAGAAAAACACTTGGAAAGACGAAATCCAATCGGAGCCTCCCCCGGCTGTAAGGCACCGCTGAGCTTAATAAGCAAAAGACCCCGTGGTGCCAGACGCCCAGAGGGGGACCTTCAAGCCAAAGCACAAAAACACGAGCTGAGCGGGGCACTGGGTGGAGGGCCTGGTTTCCACACACGCAGGTCTCAGGGGCAGAGGCCCCGGAGCCGAGCTGCTCCAGGAGGCTGGGGAGCATCCCGGCGGTGGTGCATCTTGCCATAAAAGGTGTGGTATGGTGGTATGCAAGTGACAGCAGGCATCACAGGGACCAACCCAGGACTCTGAAAAGCCTGACGCAATGCCCCACGCCGCCCTTACCGTTCAGGAGCGGCAGCTCCAGGAAGGTGGAGGAACACACCTTGCACGCCCACTGGCTTGGCTCCGACTCCACTGGGGTGCTGCTCTCCGGGGTGCCTGCAGCTTCAAAACAGAGACAAGGCAATCCACAGCAGCTCCTCTGCCCCCAGAGGCCCCGCCCCGCAGAGGGTGCACCTGTCCTCACAGGTGACAGTGACAGCGGCCATTGCTCACAAGCACTTTCAAGGGTCCAGCTGCCACTCTGCGCTCAGAGTTTTACACGCACGGACTCACTGGGTACTTGTGAATCTCCCCATTTCTCAGATGAGGAGACTGGGCACCGAGAGGCGGAGCCAAAGCAGCTTCAGGCAGGGTCTGTCTCCCGTCACGGAAGCCTGTCTTCCTCCGACAAGCCAGCCCCATGGGACCAGGAGGACCCTTCAAACGACCTCAAGGAAAAAATGCATCCTAAAGACGAAATCAACTCCTCAGTCTCTTATGAGCTCACCATGAGAGTGGGACTCAAACAGCGGCCAGTGAGCCCTGAGGCCAGTGTGGCCGCAGCTTCAGCCGGCGCTGTCCACCAAGTTGGGCAATGACAGAAATTCTGTGTGACTGTGCGGTCCCGGATGGAGGCGACATGTGCCAGTGCCCCAGGGGACTGAATTTTTTATTTTATTTCACTTGAATTTAGATTTAAATAGCCCCCCGGGGCAGGTGGCTGCTGTCCAGGGCGAGCCTCTGGTCTTTCTTCCTCACAGAACCACAGGGGCCAAAGAGAGAGAAGGTGACCAGGGTCCACGGAAGACAGCGGGAGACCCTGGCTGGGAGGAGGGGACTGCAGCTTCCTTTGAAAAATGCCTGAGGAAATCACCTGGAGGGTTATCAGCGGGGAGGGGGAGGAGGGAGGATGGGGGAAAAGGTGCAGGGAACAAGTGAGGGAGAGAACCTTGTAGGGGGTTAATAAAGCACAAATGATACGTAGAAAATAGACAGGGGGAGGTTAAGAATAGTATAGGAAATGGAGAAGCCAAAGAACTGATATGTACAGCCCATGGACATGAACTAAGGATGGGGGGATGCTGGTGGGAGGGGGGGTGCTGGGCGGAGGGGAATAAAGGGGGGGAATGGGACAACTGTAATAACATAATCAATAAACTACATTTAAAAAATTACTGATGCTCTTGTGGGACCTAAATGTTGGGGAGGGGACCTCCTGTCCCAGCCTGGTTTCTCTGAACCCCGCCTGGCAGCTTCTCCATGCTGGCCTGGGGCCCCAAGCCGTCAGCACCACATCCACTACTGTCACTGTATAGCCTGTGTTGACACTCTCAGGCCACGTACGCAACAAAGTCCCGGGTCCTTAACTAAATCATCCAGAATTGTGAATGCACAGGCTTTCAGTATTGGGGGGGGGGGGTGAGGAAGCACAGACCTTCCTGTATCAAAAATGAGCAACAAGGTTCCAAAGAATGGAAGAAAAAGATGTCAACCTTTGCTGCAGCTGTTTACATGCCCTTTCTGAGTCCTTACAAGATTACAAAAAGAAAAAATATAAATGCACTATGAAACTTTTGTTATACTAAGAACAAACAGCCCGCAGAGGGTCGGGAGCAGAAGGGGAAGCAGGAGGCTGTGATGGGTGGTCCTGCCCAACCGGCCCTGGTCTCTGCTGACCCTCTGGGAATCCCCGCTCGGAGAGTATCGAGCACCGAGTATCGGGACAGCAAGACAAACAGAGGTCGGGGCCAAATTCCCGCTTCTCACTCACCTTCTCACACACACAGGCTTCTACAGGGAAAACCACCCTTGCCCGGGAGAGTCCCGGACACGGGTTGGCTGGAAGCTGACCCTCGTGTGCCAAGGCTCATCTCCTGGAACAACGTCACTACTGTGAATGTGAGTTCAACTGACGTGACGCAAGGAACCCCTGAAGCTGGGTCAGCAGGACCACCAAGAACTGGTCATGACGACTGTCCCCTCACCAGGGGAAGGGCTTCATGTCCCCAAAGGTAAGCATTTATTTATTTATTTATTTATTTATTTTTAATTTTTTATTGATTATCCCGTTACAGTTGTTCTATTCCCCCCTTCATTCTCCTCCACCCTACCCCCCATCCCCACCATTACCCCCCTTTAGTTTATAACCATGTGTCTCAAGTCCTTTAGATTCTATATTTCCCCTACTATTCTTGCCCCCCCACCTATTTTCTATCTACTGTCTATGCTACTTATTTTCTGTACCTTCTCCCCCCTTCTCCTCCTCCCACTCCCCTGTTGCTAACCCTCCATGAGATCTTCATTTCTATGTTTCCACTCCTGATCTAGCTGTCCTTTTAGTTTGCTTTTGTTTTAGGTGTGGTTGTTAATAACTGTGAGTTTGTTGTCCTTTCACTGTTCATGTTTCTTTAACTTCTTTTTCTTCGATAAGTCCCTTTAACATTTCATATAATAAGGGCTTGGTGATGATGAACTCCTTGAATTTGACCTTTTCTGAGAAGCACTTTATCTGTCCTTCCATTCTAAATGAAAGCTTTGCTGGATAGATCAATCTTCGTTGTAGGTGTTTGGATTTCATGACTTGGAATACTTCTTTCCAGCCCCTTCTTGCTTGTAAGGTCTCTTTTGAGAAATCAGCTGACAGTCTGATGGGAACTCCTTTGTAGGTGACTGTCCCCTTAGCTCTTGCTGCTTCTAGGATTCTCTCCTTCATTTTAATTTTGGCTAATGTAATGATGATGTGCCTTGGTGTGTTTCTTCTTGGGTCCAACTTCTTTGGGACTCTCTGAGCTTCCTGGATTTCCTGGAAGTCTATTTCCTTTGCCAGATTGGGGAAATTCTCCTTTATTATTTGTTCAAATAAGTTTTCCACTGGTGGCTGTGCCTTTCCCCCTTCTGGTACCCCTATAATTCAGATGTTGGAGCGTTTAAAGATGTCCTGGAGGTTCCTAAGACTCTCCTCACTTCTTTGAATTCTTGCTTCTTGACTCTTTTCTGTTTGGCCATTATTTGCTTTCTTCTGGTCCACTCCATTGATTTGAGTCCCAGTTTCCTTTTCATTGCTATTGGTGTCCTGTGCAATTCCATTCATTTCAATTAGTTTCACCTTCATATATTTGTCTAATTTGTGGCTATAATCAACCAGTTCTGTGAGGATCCTGATCACCAGTGTTTTAAACTGTGCATCTGAGAGTTTTGCTATTTCTTCATCACTTAGATTTATAGGCTCTGGGGCTTTGAGATCTTCTTGAGCCATTTTTGGTCTGTTTGCGCCCTTTAAGTGTGAGGAGCGGCACCTCGGACTCCCAGGTCACTGGGTTGTGACGCTGTATGTGGGGGCGTGGTCAGAGCGGGGAAATGGCGACCCCCTCTGCTGTTTCGCGCTGCTGGGTGAGGAGCTGCACCTTAGGTGGTTCACCAGGGCCGGACCACTCAGGGTCGCTGGGTTATGATACTGTATGTGGAGGTGGGGTCAGAGCAGGGAAATGGTGGTGCCCTCCCTGCAGCTTGCTGTGGGGACCAGCTGGGTTCCGGTCCAATTGCCCACTCCCTTGCTTGTCTATCCGCGCACCAATGTGCGACCACAGTCAACCAGCAGCCCTGCTCCCTGGCTGTTTCCCCGACGGTCGCTCGCTTGGTCCAACTCTGCGCCTGGATTCCGCGCGCCTGAGTCTGTCTGACCGAGTCCTGTGCAACCCTGCTACACCCGCTGCTGGTTTCGCCCCTTACTGGTCAGGCTGAAGAATTTGTTGTTAACAAACTTCCAAGAAGTTCAATTTTCTGTGTTCTGGCTGTGTTTTCTGTTGCTAATATTTAGTTGTCTCTAAACTTGGTTGTGTGAGAAGGCACGGCACATCCGCCTATGCCTCCATCTTGATGGAAGTCCCCACTGTTCCCTCAAAGGTAAGCATTTTTAAGAAAGAAAATAACCAACAACCAGAAGGCAATGCCTGATGGCCAACAAAAGAGCAGTGTCTCCCCAAAGTGTGACACCGTGCCCAGGAAACAATGCCACAGAGATGGTGACAACAGGGAAAGTGCTTACACCAGGGGCAAGGAAAAGGCGCACAGGTAAGTACGAGTGAGCAGTACAATGGCACTACAGCAGGACCCACCTGGGCAAAAACGCACAGTTTTTTAAATTGGGAAAAGAAACGGCGGAACGTGGGGGGCGCAAAGGAGTCCCCAGTCTCCAGGGCGCTGCGTGAGAAGCCCGTCTCTGGGTCAGGAGCAGGTCCTGCCTGCTGACTGTGGTGGGGCTCACACAGCTGCACCCATCTGTCAAAGCTCTCAGACCTGCACCCTTGAAATCGCCACGTTTTACTGTATGTCAACCACTCGTCACTGGTGCTGCTTTAAAAAATACTGGAACAAGCCAGTCAAAAACGCCGTCATTGAGTTAAAATGGTGACATTCTGTGTGCTTTAAAACACGTGCCCACAGGCACGACATGTGTGCACGCCTCACCTTTTTCTTCACAAAGGCGGTCTTGGACGTCCGATTTTGGTGGCCAACCCTGAGCCCCACAGCCGTCCACTCAGATATACTATGGTGGCCAGTAACTTTCGCTAAGTTCAAAAACTGCTTGTCATTGGTCTCGAAACAGAAATCCATAAATGGTATGTCTAAAATTTCAGAGCACCTAAGTTCACTGTTGTAGGGTGACCACGCCTCCCAGCCTATGCTGGCTGTCCCATCACTAACAGCGGCCTACGTTCTCAGAAGCCTGGAGGAGGCACCTCGGTCACCTCGTAGTCCTGACTGCCAGTGCTTGGGACAACACAGCGCCAGGCTCACAGCCTCACAATCTGTTCTCTCAACGATCAGCTCCAGGTGAAAAATCTCTCCGGCAGGCAAAAGCAAACAGAACAACTATAACTCCGATAAGTGGCATCAGCCTTTGCTTTGACCTTGACCTTGATCATCATGAGGGATGTACCATCATCCAGGACATAAGAGACCAGGTCAGCCTCTAACACCCCAAATCCTGACGTGCAGACTGGGCTGCTCCCAGGCACACACGATGTCAGCTGCTTGGGCCATGAGGCATCGGGGACATGAGAAAACCAGGTCAGAAAGAGCCCAGCAATCGGGGGCCGTGCCTGGGGAGGCCAGCTCGGCATGCTGGGAAGTGCCGCCTGACCCAGTGCGGCGCCGCAGCGGTGCCTCCCTTGGGGGCCAGGTGCCTGGTTGTAGCAAATCCTAGAGGGTGGTGGAAAGTCATCGGTCTCTCCAAATTCTTTCTGTCCAGTTCACTATCGAAGTAAGACACGCCACAGAGCCCAGTCTTCCCATGAATCATCTCTGGGAAGGGGTAAACACCCACTGCCATGCTTACTTTATCTTCCTGCTGCCACCAGACTGGCGGGGGGGCCGTCTGGTGCCCCCAACATTCCCATGGACACCCCCGGGGGCTCCCCACTCCACCCTCGCCCACCTAGCTTGCAGTGGGCTGGAGAGGGACCCCCACACTCAGGTCCACCTGGAAGCTTCGGAAGTAGCCTCTGTAGTCGTCAGGAAAGTAAGGGGAGGTCAGGCTGGTGTAGGGTGGGCCCCACACCCAGTGACTGTTGTCCTTATAAGAAGGAACACAGGGACACAGGGAGAGGCCTTGTGAAGCCACAGCAGGGACCAGAGTGATGCAGCCACAAGCCACGGAACACCAAGGGTTGCCCGCAGCCCCAGAACCCAGGAGAGAGGCTGGAAAGGGTGCTCCCTCGGCCTCCGGAAGGAACCAGCCCCGCCCCACCTGGATCTCAGACTGCTGGCCTCCAGGCCCTGGGACAATCTCTTCCTGTTATTCCGGCAGCGTCCCAGAGTCCTCCCCTCACGCAGTGCCGGGTGTGTCACCCAGGGCAGCTCACCAGACCTCAGCCACATGAACACACAGGACAGACAGACCTTCTGAATGAGGAAGCTCTCGCTCTGGAGCCCTTTTCTATCACACTGGGTTTGTAACAAAAAGGAAACAAGTCATTCGCTGCGGCAGTCCCGCCACCAGGGGGCATCGGGGCAATAATCCTCATGGCAACCAGAAACAACACGTCTCCCCCACAGCACCAGGTGGAGTGTGCGCCAGCGCAGCTAGGTCAGGTGAAAGACGTCCAAGCGTCAGCCACGTCCCCAGTCTCTCAGGGGTCTGTGGAGAGGGCCCATGCCACCAGCCACCAAGACCCACAGCCAGGAGAGATTTAAACTCAGTGGGTCCCCTTCACGAAGTGATGCCGGGACCCTGGTTCTCCAGACACGACTGATTCGCTTTTCCAATAGGAAGGTCGGGCTTGGGCCAATTGCACATGTGATTTTCACCAGGTCTTTCTCTGAATGCATACACACACTCTTGCACACACATACACGTACCCCACATTCTGGAGGCTGTACGGGGGACCGCACAGCCCCGGAGCCAGACGTCCCATCTCCTGCACTGTGACAGGGCAGGCTCCTCGCCCTCTCTGTGACTGGTTTCCTCTGCTCCAAACCAGAAGAACAGCACCCAGCCTCAGAGGACCAGGAGGAGCTGCGGTCTGCGGAAGGAGCTCCCCACCAGGGGTGAGGGGGACCAGGACGCAGCTGGCCGTGTCCCAGGGTGGGGCTTATGGCAGCAGAGCCAAGAGGCCTGACTTCCCACCAGTAAGAGTCTGGCTTAGGGGCGAGCTCTTCCATTCTCTATCAGCCCGGATACTTTCCAAGCAGAACAGCAGACCCAGCCACGCGGGGTCAAGACCGCCCCTTTGCCCTCCCCACGCGCAGCCAGCACAGCCCCTCACTGACGTCAGGCCCCTGCACAAGGCCACCACATACCGTGGGCCCCGGAGCAGGCCTGCTTCAGCATGGGCTTGTCCATCTTCTTGGCGTAGAAGGCCGCGTACCACACGCGCAGCTCGGTGCCCGGCGGGATGTCCCTGGAGGTGGTGAAGTACACGTCGCTGCCGTGCTGGTAGGCCGTCAGGTTCTGGTGCGCGGGCTCCGCCGCCGGCCGCACCAGCATCATCCAGTTGCAGTCGTCCTCGTTGGAGGTGTCGAAGCACACGGGGTGCCCGTCCTTCTGGAACACCTGGGGGGCGCCCACCGAGGAGGGTCTGGTTACCACCAGTCTGCGAGTCAGCGTCTGTGTGTGTGTGCTGGGGGGCGGGGCTGAGCAACCAGTCCAGACCTTGGGAACCAGGTCAGGCCCCGTACACACCCCGTTTGGGGGGTTACAGTAGTTCGGAGGGTCTCAGACGGATCAGGCTGGTCGAGGGCGAGAGGGAAGCGGTAGATACAGTGAAAGACCCAGGTGTCGCTGGGGAACCCGAGCTCTACGCCGGGCCCAGGTGTCGCTGGGACACTTGAGTTCCATGCATGGCTCAGCTGGGGATCAGGATGCCTGACTTTGACCTGTGGTCCTGACAGGGGGCCGAGTAGTTCTACTCGTGCTTCAGGGGACAGACGGAAACCTGAGGCCCACTCCGAGTCCCAGAGTTACTGGGAGACTGGAGTTCAATGCTTGGCCGAGCTGGGCAGGGGGACATTTGAGGTCTCGAGGTCCACTCGTGGACAAACTAGTCAGCTGTCAAGAGGGCATGAAAGCATCTGAGTTCACGTTTGGTCTAGTGGCATCAGGACACCTGAGTTCTATTCCTGGTCCACGTGCCGCTGGATCATCTGAGCTCTATACCTTGTCCAGGTATCAGCGGGACACGTAAGTTCTACAAAGGACCTCGTTGGGAACTAGAATCACTGAGTTCTCCTCCTGACCCAGGTGGGAAATGGACACCTGAGTTCTATACCTGCCCGCGCCCCAGTTGGGAATCAGGATGCCTGAGGTGTTCTCGAGGTGCTGGCGTCATTGGGATATCTGGGCTCTACACCTGGTCCAGGTGTCATCGATTCTCCTGAGTGCTATGTATGGCCCAGGTGGGAATCAGGGTGGCAGGTCATATTCATGGTCCTGATGGGCATCGAGACACCTGAGTTCTCCCGGTTCTATTACAGGGTGTTCAGTGACTTAAGCAAAGTCCCCTGTCTTTCTAAGATGCGCCCTCCTCTGTAACAGAGCACTGTTCCTTGTGGATTCAATGCAAGCAGGGAGCAGGGGGAGAAACAAGTGTTTTGAAGTTCAAAGGAAACACACAAGTGTAGGGGTTCTCGTCCCCTATTTTCTGATGCAAGTGTTCCTCCCTCACTGTAGGAGAAGAGCCTCTCCCTTCTCCTGAGCTTTCCCCATAGGGGCTCCCCGCTGCTAATGGGCTGGAGGCCCCTCTGAGGAGGGACCCCTCAGAAACTGGGGGGGGGGCAAGGGGGCCACTGGGTACCTGGCGACCCCCAGCTGCTGTGGGGGCATGCTCTGTCCTCCCTCCAGGGGGCAGAAAGCTGCCCTGGGCCTCTGTCCAGTGGGCCTCTGCCCTCCCTCCAGGGGACAGAAAGCTGCCCCCGGCACACAGGTGCTGGGCACTGAGCTGGGGCCGCAAACAACTTGTGCCAGATGCGGACCTTCAGTACCAAGTCACCAAAAGAAACCAAGAGGCGCACCAAGGACGGTTCCAAGGGGCCTCGACCCACAGAGACTGTCCCGTGTGGCCTGGGTCCCATAAAGGCCAGTGGCCAGCAGCCTCGAGTTCTTCCTTTCTTGCTGGTAAACAAATCAAGTGCCCCTCCCTTTCCCTCATTTTGCTGACATTGGCCTCGAAAGTGCCATTTTCCAAGGCCTGCCCCAAACCTGAGGTCATTGACTTTGTCTCTGTCCCGAAATGTGGGTCCCCGCTCAGGGTGTCCAAGGCAAGTCCGCCCCTGCAGGTAACTGCGGCCCGACCAGCGCCCCGCCCTGTTCCTCGTTGGTCCTTCTCAGGCCCGCTCGGGGCTGGTACCTCGCTGGGCACAGGGACAGCCCGAGAACAACACCTGCGTCCCCTGGCCTTGGGGGCACCCACGGGCCACACTTTTGGTGTTGTAAGCCCTCCCTGCGACTCTATTTCACTTTTCTCAGCTTCACAGAAGACCTGCCCCATCCCAGTCTGGCGGGTTTTCAGAGCCGCCACACTCTGCCGGGGTCCATCGCAGCCCAGACACGGCACCTTCCTCTGGGAAGGGCCGGGCACAGGACATGCGCTCCGCACAGGTGTGGCGGCAGCCGTACCAGCACACTGCTGCGAGAAATGACAGAACTGCCCACCCCTACGGCCCGCCACACCCTCCTGGGTCGTAACAGAAGTGAGGGCAGCACCTGGGTCTCCTCGTGCCTACGTTTTAAATAGTCTCTTTAGCGTTTGCGAAGTGGAAAATGACAAAATGCTGACTTAACTCTGACACTCTGGTGTCATGAAAAACGAACTAAAAGAAAAAAGGGGAAGATTCTGCTGGAAAGTAAGCAGAACTGCACTAGTCGGAGCTGTTTCCGGGACATCTGAAGGCCACCGGCACTCTGGCCACGGCGCCCAGTGGCGCGGAGGAGGGTCACGAAGGACCCGGTTCCTCGGCACCGTCGGCACGGCCTTTACCTTCAGCGGAAACGCGGATTCCTTCTCCCATTTGGCGACTCTCCGAGACTCGAAGGGACCAAACTGGGTCCGCTTGACGAGCTGTGTCACGGCAAACACGCCTTCGGCTCCGTCCTCCAGCCGTCTGATCTCCAAGTTGGAAGGAAGGGACGACCTGAAATGGGACAAAGTAAGTTCCTGAGCGCCACTGGCTGGAGCCGGGCCTGCACCCAGACACAGGCAGTGAAGATAAATGGAAAGATGACTGTCACCCAGGACACTCAACGGAGGGTCGCTTACTAAAGGGCGGCCCCAGTCCCCACCTGCCCGAGGCAGAGCCAACACGCTCGTGTCTGGGTGCGGGGTGCAGGGTGCGGTAGGCCAACAGGCACAGCGCAGACAGCCCTCACCCACAGAAGCACACGGTCCGGGAAGGAGGAAGACCACAGCAGCCCCGAGACCAGGTGCCACGTGGAAAGTTCCACAAGAAAGACAGGAAAAGCCATGGCATTCCAAAGGCCAGAAAAGGGCTTCCGGCTGGGCTGAACGGGCTGCTTTCGTGGGGGACGCGGCCTTTTTGAGTGAACTAGGAGAGCGTCGAGGGTGCGGTGCCGGAGGAGGGCACGGGGCCGGGACGCCAGCACGTGCCAGAGCCTCAGCGAGGGACCCAATCGCGGACGGTCCCGCTGTGGGACTGAGCGTCCCAGTGAGTTCTGAGGGCAGCAGCAGGCAGCCGCTGAAGGTTTTGGGGAGACCTGATTCAATCTCTAGGCAAAGATATTAATCTCTTTGTTTCGAGAAGGTAAGTCACAGTGAGAAAAAGCAGATAAATAAAGAGGCCAGACAACCAGTTGAGAATAACACTGATAAGTGTACGTCTCCACGTGCCAGGCACTACACTACGCAGGACACAATGATTTTACGGGAGCGGGGGCGGGGAACCGTTACTCTGATTGCTTCACAGACGGGGCAACTGAGGCGCACAGAGAACGCCTCATCCAAGTACAAAGAGCCAGACGTGGCCGACCTGGGCCGTGAACCAGCGGCCACTCAGCCCTTGCTCCCGCCCACCAGGTGACCCGGCCCCACAGGGACACATGGGTTGGCAGAGCCACGGTGCCCCTGATGGCACCTGCAGGTACTTACCCACAATCCGCCTGCACTCACTGCTGCGCCCGCCCCCCCCCTCCCCAGCCAGGCCCACAGTGGGCGTCTGGGCAGGAGGCAGGCCCAGGCTGGCCACAGGGAAACCGCGCGGGCAGACCCGCCACGTGGCCGTCGCTCCCCAATGTAAACCAGGCCAACCGATCGGTTCTTCCGTGGTGCTGGTCCGGGTCTCCGCCTGGCTCCTTAGAGGCACGAACCAGCTATGAGCCACCCCCTCTGCAGCCTCAGAAACACGCCTGGCTCCTCCTGGGGATGCATGACGCAGCCCCCAGGGGGACGGAAGTCACAGATGCCGTGCGAGGCCGAGGGTGGCCCTCCTCACTAGACCCTGTCCTCCCCCTTCGGCGGCGTCCTCCCTGCTGGCAGACGTGGAGGCCCCCAGCCCCTCACTGCAGCCGCCACAGAGACCGCCCCGTCGGCCAGGCGGAACTGTAGGAACAGCCGAGGCAGTCACTCACCTGGCCCTGCTCAGCACAAAGGAGTCCTTGACCATGACCACGGGGCCCAGCTCAGGACACTCGGAGTCGTGGTACTGACTGCAGTCTTCACACCCTGCAAAGAGACGTCCAGCATCAGGGCGAGGCACCAGACAGACACTGCTGGGCTCCCTGCCCAGCGGGGGGACTGACACTGCCCCCCACGTGGATGAACAGCGCAAACACGGGACGTGCTCCCCCAGGAAAGGCCCAGCTCTGTGGAGCATTTCAACGGGTCGTCCCAAGGAACGACGATAAACGAAAACTCACCCACTTCACCTGTTTACGATAAGTCTAACGCATCGTAAGTCACTTTCCATAGCCCTGGATTACTTTTCTAGATCAACCGCCACCCCCTGCGAAGTGCCCTTTGCTGGGGATTCTGGGAAAGATGAACCTCTTAAAACTACACCCCTGCCACATGTCTCTCATGTAATAAATCATGTTTCTTAAGGCAAGTAAAGTCATTTCAACCAAAAAAGAAACAGCGCTTGTGCACTGGAAAGACAGTGTGGACCCGAGGACGCAACTTTGCCCCGACAGCCAGCGCCACACCACCCGCGCCGGAGGGCAGGCTCGGCCACTCACAGATGAACATGATCTCCTCGCTGCCGTCCTCGGCCATCGCTGCCACCTGTCAGGACACGAGAGAGCGTCGTTAATGACGAGCTTTTTGACAAAGCACTTCTGAAGGAAGTCCCTGCGCACCGCCTCCCGGCGCCTGCGCGTCCCAGCGGCCCACGGTGGGCCCCCGTGTGGCAGGACGGGGCTGGGGGCCTTCATGAATTCAGACTTTCGCCTTTTTATATTAGCCATGCTTCCACTTGTAAAATAAATACGTCACCACGTTTTAAGAGCCAGTTTTCACACTGTCACTTCCCCCCTCCCCCACTAGACAGTGAATTCTTCCAGGACAACCGTGTCTAGAGCCACCTCTGTTCTTCAGCTGCCGGCTGCTGCCTGAAACCCATGGGCCTAAAGCAACCATGACATCGCAGAGGAGGGCCCCCTGCTCGCCACAGAATCTCAGAGTCCAACCCGGTCACCCCGAGTTCCTGACCATCCTTTGAGGGACAGCTCGAGAGCCACCCCCACCACGGGCAGCTGAGCTTATGCGCCCCCGCATATTGCAGGGTGATCTGGACATGTTAACCCTGGAGCCTGGAAATGAAAAGGCTCATCTCACACAGCTCTGGGGGAGCAGAAAGGGCGACACACCCAGCATGTGCCGCTCCATAATGATCCCCCCTCCCACGCCCTCCATCCCCAGAGAGGCCAACCCAGCGCACCCTCCCACATCCCACTTCTCGTCTCAGCCCCTGTGATGTGGACACCTTTTGGGGAACGGGTGCAGCTGGCGCTTCCGGAAAGCTATTCCACACGGCACCCCTCTCCCAGGAGCTTGAAGCATGACACACAGACAATGTCAAGTCCAACAAAAACTTGGATTTGCCGAACACACGCCTGCATCGGCAGAGACAAGAGCAGGGTGGAAGGGCTCCCGGTGGCAGCGAGTTAACGAGGAAACAAGGCAGAGACGGGAATGCTGATTTGCCCTCAAGGTGCCGCAGACAAATGACCAGGGGGTATTTTGTCCTGCACTGTCTACTTCCGCACCTCCCCTGGCCACGCCCCGCTTTCTCCCACCTGGACGGCTCCCCCGCCCTGCCCTGGCCCAGAGCACGAACCCAAGCGACTAACTTGCCAAATGGAAACTGAAGGGCTTCCCGCTGTTCCTGGGACCAAACCCAAACCCACCAGCTTCTCGTGCCCGCCTCCCCCGAGCTGACCCTCTCCGGCCACAGCAGCCTTGGTTTATTCAGCTCCAGCTCCTTCCTGCCTCCGGGCCTCCCCCGTGCTGCTCCCTGTGCCCGTGACCTCTGACCACCTCTGCCACAGGCGGACGCCCACTTGTTCTTCTTGTCTCACTTTAATTGTCACTTCTCTGGGCAGTGCTTTCTGACCCACCTGCCCAAATTGGGGCCCTTGTAACTCTTCCTGAAAGCAGCCCACAATTTCCCCTCACCACGGTTTTCACCGCCGAGACCATCTGTCTGTGTGCTGCTTATCGGGTGTCTCTCCCCACACTGGACCCGGGGGCCAAGAGGCAGGGACCAGCTGCAGGTGCTCGGCACCTGTGTGGGCCCCGCCCCCCAGCAGGCCAGGCCTGGAGCCCAGGTCCCGCTCCTTTGTGGCCTCCTGGGGCGCGGCTGCACTGGCCTGTCTTTGCTTTCTCAGGGCTCCTGCCTCCCCTCCCTTGGACACTAAGATTGGTTACGGTTTTCAGCTACACATACTGGAAAGAGAGTTTACACAGAAAATCTCTGCTACCGTACAAGTCAAGAAATCTCGCAAACCAGTAGTGGTGCTACAGGCAAGGGCAGCTTTTCAGGACGGCGCCTGGTGTTCCCGGGAACACTTCATGGGCTCTAATAAGACGCGTCCCTCCCTCACCCAGGCATTCCCGGGACACTCGCCGCCGCCACCAGGCTGTGCTAACGGCTCACTTTAGCTGGGATGGCAATGCCAAGTATGAGCCTCTCCTCCCACGGACACTGCAGGATGAGGGGCCGCCGGGACCTGATGGAAGGCCAACAAGGGGGCTGTGGAACGATCCAGATTTGGCCAAATAAACGTGTCCTTGTCTTCTGCTTCTGAGGAGAAGCTGGCAAATACTTCGGCTCCCCACGGAAACACTATGCACTCAACAAGGGGGTAGAGATCTAGAACAATGTGCTTTCCTGTGGTCACTAGGCAGGTTCAACACTGTGGCACATCTGTATGGGGCGGAGGCAGGCGCATGAGAGCGCCGAGCCCGTGCCATCCCCCCAGTGATGGCCCAGTGCTCCAGCGGCCTAGAGCAGAGAGTAAGGGGGCCGGTTCCTCTCTAGGCTGCTGAGATGTAAAGACACCCCACCGCTACCCCAGTGTGGCAAACACAGAATTTTCATCAGACTACTTCGAGTTCTGCATACATTTTCTGCAAAAAGCACAGCGTTTCTGCACCACCACGTGGAGTTCTAAAGCCCACCGCTTTTCAAGTGCTGGCCTGAGAGGCTCAGGGAGCAGCCCTTCACCCAGCACAGGCCCCGCACTCAGGCCCCAGGCAAGCAGGGCCCGGTGAGGGTCCTGGGGGAGCGGAAGAAGTGCAGGCTCGGTCTGCAGCAGCAGACAAGCTCAGAATGTTTTTCAAGACTATTTAATACAGCGGTGACTACTCTGGTCCCTCGAACACACGGAGTCCTACAGTACAGGTCTCCCTGGCCTGGCTGACCTCACTCAGCACGGTGTCCTGACGGTTCTCCCACATGGTAGGGGGGATCAGAACGCCCTTCCTTTTCACGGCTGAAGAGTGTTCCATTGTCTGGATGGACCACGTTTTGTTTAGGTGTGTTTGCTGTCGGACGCTTGGGCTGCTTCCCCGTTTTCCCTGTTGTGACCAATTGCCGCTGGGAGCGGAAGTGCACAAATCCCTCCCGAAAACCCTGCCTTCAGCACTTTGGGGTGTGTGCCCTGGGCTGGCTGAAAGTCTGCTTAGTTTCTTTAGTAAAATAAAAGACACGTTTTTCATTTTCACCAGTAACTTCATTGATTTGGATATTTTGAGTATGCAGGCCACCTCCTGCGTGGTATAACATGGATTACTCTCAATTAAGTGTCTCGACTGGATCGCCATCAACTTCAGCTGGTCTCCCTGAATGCGGAGCACCCACTGCCCAGCGAGAAATCTCCTGCCGGAACTTCGCAAACCCTTTGATGTGCTCACCCAGTCCCAGCACCTTCTCCACACTCTGCACAGGTCTTCTCGTGTCTCAGCTAGGGCTTGACCTTTCTTGAAATAATAAAGCATCATACGCTGAAAATGTTGCTTATTTTCTTCCGTCTTCAACATTAAAATGGCTACATAAAAATTTACCGATTTGGTAAGATTTTTTAAATGCACGCTGACAGACAGCCCTCACTGTCCAGTCTAACAGAATAATTTTGAATGAAGTTAAAGAAAACTAAGTGGTATCAGTGCCCATCATATGGAAAAAACCAGAGGAACTTTTTGGCCAACCCAACGCTTAGAAAGGGGACTGCTGGGCCACGGGACGGCTACGCGGGCGGTTTTCTGAGGGCCTCCTGCTGGTTTCCACGGCAGCTGCACCGCTTCACATCCACACCCACGGTGTGCGAGGCTCCCACTTCTCCACATCCTCTCCAACACGCGTTATTTTCTGATTTTTAAAAATGTAGTAGCCATCCTAATGGATGTGAGGTGGTAAAAGATTTTTTAAGGTTATTTAATATTTTAATGATCTACCAAGGCTGGGTTTTAGGAAAAGTAATCAGCTTTGAAACACTGGAAAACAAAAACTTCATAATTTTAAAACACAGGTAATAAAAATAACTCAGAGAAAAAGGCGTTTTCAGGGAGGCAGCCCACGGGACTGTGAAAGGAAGATTATCTGGTCTGTGACCCTGATGGGACGTGCCTGGCCACACCCTCCCACTCACATGACAGAGGGGGACAGATAAAGGAGGGGGCAATGAAGGAGGATGTGCCAGGAGACTGTCCCCGGCCTGGATGACTTCCCACAGCCTTGTCAGGGTCCCAAGCAGCCCTCTCCAAGGGACACAGAAGGCGAGCCACACTTGTAGTATGATTTTGGCTGCTGTTTAGTTTTGAACTATTATAGAGTCACAGGAAGTTTCAATTATAGCACGGAGAGGTGCCATGTACCTTTTGCTCAGTTTTTCCCCAAGGCTTATATCTTACATAACTACAGACAATACTCAGACTCTCATGTAACTGTAGCACTAAGAATTGCACGCTATCGAAACCAGGGAACTGACCTTGGCCCCGCACGTGTGCACGTAATTCGAAGTCATTTTCTCACAGGTGTAGGTTCATGCACCCACCACCGCCACCAAGACTCAGGACTGTTCCATCACTAAGAAGACCTCGATCGTGGGTCCCCTTTAGAGCTACCTCTCATCCCTCACACCATCCCTAACTGCATCTCTGTAATTTCTCATTTCAGGAATGTCATATAAATGGAATCATACAGTGTGTGGTCTTTGGAAACAAGCTTTAAAAAAAAATAGAAAATAAAATTATGGATCTGTATAATGCCCTTGAGATCCATCCAGGTTGCTGCATGTATTGACAGTTCATTCCTCTTTCCTGCTGCATAATATTCCACAACACAGCTGGACCATACATTCACTGAAGAACACTGGGGTTTCTCCCCGTTTTTGCCTACAACAAATAAAGCTGCTATAAAAAAGTGCTCCAGTTCTTCCATGGACATAAGTGGTCATCCCTCTGGGATAAATGCCCACAAGTGCAATCTCTGGGCCACATGCTAAGTGGACACTGGGAAAATGGGAGGCAACAGGAAAAGGGGAAGACCACGCACGCACAAGATGAAGCAACTCCATAACTGAAGCCACGGGCACGAGTCTTTGGGAGCTGGTGAAGACGGCGCACTGTGGGTGGCGGGCTGGGCTGGTGACGTAGGACCCACCCAGCTTCTCCCCCTGTGCCAGCACAGGGCTCACAATCGTCACTGCGGCCATTCTCACAGGTTACAGTGGCTCTTGCTGGAGTTTTCATTTGCATTTCCTTCCCTAACGACCAATGAGATT